TATGGGGGGAAAGAGCTGATGAGGAGTTAGTGCTACCAACATGGTGCATGGGTCCGGCCATGGGACGGAGAAATCCATGCTGCCTCCGCGTCCACATGATGCCCCAGTGAGCCCTGACTCCTCTCCTGTTTACGGTGGTGAGTTGCTGTGTGCCTGAGGGTCTGTGCTGTCTGTGCAAGGGCAGATGCCCAAGGGTGGTTTGGGAGCAGATGAACAACGGAAAGGACAAACCGTGCACAAAGCAGAGGGGAGCAAGGGATGGCCGAGGAGGTTAAGAGGCAGATAACAGAAACTGGAATAGCTCAGCAGTGGCTCAGGCCAGCCCCAGGTCCCCCCTCCGACATCTGTTCCCATCACTCCTGCACCAGGCAATGAGACATTTATCCCTGGCTCTGTACGTGCTGCATAGAGATCGGCTGATCCCTGCTTCTGCCCATGTTCAGCACTAGCAGGAGTAGGTGACAACTGAAACATCCCAAGACACACAAAATATTTATCAAGTTTTTTCTAGTCTGGGAAGGGGGTTATTTCACACGCTAGACCATGATCACAAATGTTGCACCTTAAGACCTCTTTTTTGCTTGGAGGCTGACAAAGCCTGGAATCCTGTTAGTCTCTTTATAAATAATTTAGACAAAGCTGCTGCTTGTAAGATGCAAAAGCAAAACTAATGTGAGCAAGTGAGGAAGTAACAGAGTATGCGGAGTAGTATGAATGAGCCTGTGGTGGTTTGGGAGGAACATGAAATGGTATAAACACAAGTGGAACAAAATGCAATTTAATAAAAATATGCTAATTTCAGTCACAGCCTGAATGGTGGTGAGTTAAGATGGAAGAGGAGCTGCAGCTGTATTAAAAGGGCCACGGTAAAAACTTATGTCTAATATAAACATGGCAATTTTTTTTACATGACACTGTTCTCTCGAAAAACACACAATGAAACTAGGTTTTCCCAGCATTGCTTCTCTTTTTTTTTTTTTTTGGTGATATTTTTCATTAAACCTGCCCTGAAATTCTGAGAAATTATAAGTAGTTTTCACCTTCACAGAACAAACCATGTAGATTGTTTTCATTTAAACATAAATAGTATCTTTTTTGCCAGTCTGAGGTAGCGAGTCATTTTTACTCACCTTTAATCCACGGTGCAGTATCACAGAGAAGATGTACAGTTTGGCTCGGACGTAGCATTGTGGAGAAAATATTGCAGTTGGCTACAGGCTTCAATACATCCTGAATGAGACTTTATTAAGTGGCTGAGATATGTTATTATCTGCTTTGTGATTTACACAGTGCAAGAAAAACCGAATTTGTTGCATCATCCAAGCAAGCCCGGTCCCCTTCCCTTGTGTGAAACCCATTCCTCGGCAGAGTTTCTCCTCCCATTAACTGCAGCGGGTGCCGCTGGCAGCAGCGGGACAGGCTGGAGTCCAAAGCTGCACCAACATTAACTCTGCTCCTCATATGAGCAATTCCAGGAATGTTGTAAAGGTGCTTGTTGCCATATTTGCATTGGTAATGAAAATACCTCCCGTATTAAAGTGATTTATGGAAGGCTGGGCTGGGAATGGTATCTATGGCTTCAGGACAACAGAGACGATTAGCTGTGATGCTACTGCAACGTCTGCCCCAGTCTGGATGCCTCAGCGATGAGTGTGGCTCGGGCACGCGTGGTCCCGCAGCCGGCAGGACACTGGGAGCCCCAGGGCCAGGATGAGCCCTGGCCGCCTCTCATCTCCCAGCCAGTGTTCATGGCTGAGTCATTTGGGGTCAGCCCTCCACATGTGTCTCTTGTCTCAGGAGGGGCTCACATCTGCAGATACTATGCTGCGGCCACCTCCCATTGCGGACGCCCGGCTGCTGGTGCAACGCCTGCCCTGCCAGTCACACTCCCCTCTGAGCTGCTCCTTCTTGGCAGCAGGATGATGTAAGGGGAGCATGGACAGCAAAGTCTTAGGTCGTCTGGTCCATAGCCCTGCCCAGCTCAGCCTAGACAAACATTTGGCAAGGAGTGGTCAAACCTGATCTTAGATCTCTCCCATCAGCCACCCTCCAGCTCCACCCAGAAATTTCCGTCAGAATTTTAATCCTTATCAATAGGAAGGTTTTTTCCCCTAATTTTTAGTGGGAATTTCTTTTGCTCTAATTTAAAATCATTAGCAGGGACACAAAAAACATTGTCCTTTTCCTCCATCCTGCTGCTTTTTTTCTTCTTCAAGCTAAACAGCTCCAGTTGACCATTGACGTAACCGGACTGGGATTTCTGTTGAAGGGCTTAGCTGACCATCCACTGTGCTGGTGGATATATTAACTTACGGTCTTCTTCCTCTTTTCACCTCACAGGTGAGTACAAAATGTCGTGGCCTGTGGTGGGAGTGTGTCACAAATGTTTTTGATGGGATCCAAACTTGCGATGAGTATGACTCCATCTTCGCCGAGCACCCTGGTATGTAAGAGTCAAAGATGTTTCTACAAGTGGTGGGGACACCTGAGTGTAGACAAAAAGAGCCTCTGTGCTACTCAGTGACACATCACTTGGTGCACATACATATTAGAGCCATGTTTCTTTTCTCAGTGAGGTATTACTCCCAGTGGAAATTGGAGAAAGCTTCACCCCAGAAAAAAATGTTCCCACGGGGTCTGACCCCATTACCCACCTGCACTTCCATTCCTTGTGCACTAGAACGATCTGCTTTTGTCCTGCAGTGAAACTGGTGCTGACCCGAGCCATGATGATCACAGCAGATATCCTAGCAGGATTTGGATTTTTCTTCCTTGTCCTGGGACTGGACTGCGTGAAATTCCTTCCCGATGAGCCGCTCATCAAGCTGCGCATCTGCCTGGTGTCTGGAGTCACATTGCTCATTGCAGGTATTTCCCTGCTGTGCCCCAACCCTGCAGAACACCCTTCAGCAAAGGGGGGAAGCTTTAAAGCCTTCTCTTATTTTGAGGAGAGGAGTTAGTGATTTTCTAGAGGGTAAACATGGGGAAGGATCTCTATTTGCTTTATTTATGCAATATAGCTTCCTCTGTTCACTGCCTGCCCCTGACAGCACATAGTTGAGTTTATTTGCTTTCATTTCATCTGTTGACCAGGTGATGTGGTTCTGAGTTGACTGACTTCCATTTACTGCTGTTTTACTGTGAAGAAGGCAGTGTTTTGTTAAGGCAGAGAGACCTAATTGCTGAAAGACTAGGAAGTCCTGGCATCCTGGTTCGGTTCTTGGCTCTGACACAGATTGTGTGACCTTGGGCAAGTCACTTAGCCTGAAATCTCTGCAGCCACTCTCTAATAAAAAGATAATAACATCTGTCCCTCCTAGGTGATAAATACCCAATTGACTGAGGTGTTTTGTTGTTATTGCCAGTGGGAGAATTTTAAGTGCAAAAATATATAGACACCCAACTAGGTACCAAGTAATTTAATTTGACTTTATGTTAATATTGAGCATCTACCTCTGCTTCAGCATAAGCAGATCTAACACATAACTCACCCCAGCCACTGTGAGCATACTTTGAGAGGTTCATTTAAACATCCTCCATTCACCTCCCAAAGTTTGTCTGAAAAACACTGTCAAAGTTCTGAAAGTCAAAACAGATTAGAAAATTAAATTCTTGAAGTAACTTTACAATAAGTTGATAAATGAGCTGAGAAAAGAGGAGTTTTCTGCCTTTTAATGCAGAAACCCGAGTGCTGCCAGCCGGCACTGATGGTGTCTGTGAGTGCCAAGCCGCGAGGCACAGCCTCTGCCTGACAGCAATCCAGCTGATATCAGTAGGAACCAGGGTGAATCCACCGAAGTGACAGGGGCCAAAACCTGACATCTGAGGAGGGTCTTCCCATCCTAAAGTCTGGCCCAGCAGAAAGCAGGCTATAGCTCCAGGTTTTATGTTTGTGATCTCCTCGTGGTCCATCTGGGAGCTCTGTGTAGCACCTCCCTCCTGTCCTGCAGGTCTCCCAGGCATTACTGGCTCGGTGTGGTATGCCATTGATGTCTACGTGGAGCGCTCCTCTCTGGTCTTCCACAACGTCTTTCTGGGCATCCAGTACAAGTTTGGCTGGTCGTGCTGGCTCGGCATGGCGGGGTCACTCGGCTGTTTCTTATCTGGGGCCCTGCTCACCTGCTGCATGTATCTCTTCAGAGGTGAGGATCTGCGGCAGGGCTGAAACACAGTTCAGAGATAGAATCATTGCTTGGGGCCTGCTACAGGCACACAGGGTGGGGAAAGTCCTTCAGGGACATCCTTCAGGATGGTTGCTCATCCCCAGTAGCAATATCTTCAGATGTAAAATGGGAACAGTATTATTTCAGCAGCTCTAGAAAGCACATCAAGGTCTTCAGGTGGGAGATGAGTTCTAAGTATGATATAAAATGTGTTATTATGTCATATCTTGGAGTGCTGCTTCCTCTGCATTTCGAGGCTTTGCAACTGAAAGTCACCAAGTCATCTGCACTTGTTAGCAGATCCTATTTCTCTCCCTCTGCCTCACAGAGACCGGCTCTGGAAGACTCCACTCTGCTTACTCCTTGAGGAAAGGCTATTCCTCAGCTGGGACAATCGTAACAAACGTGCATTTGCCATCCTCTCAAACAGCTACTGCCAAAATGTATGCAGTGGACACAAGAGTGTGAAGAGGAGGTAAGCGCTCCAGAAAGAGTTCCACTTTTATTTGTAGTGGAACTCCACTTTGGATTATGCAAAGACCCAAGCTCCTGTGGTTGTGATACAGATGAAAATTAAATTTCAAGGATGTACTATATGCTACAATGTTTGCATTATGAGAGCTTCAAAAAAACCTTTCCTTCTAGAAAGTAATCTCTGAGAAGATCTTGCATTAAGGATTCCTGTTGTCTTGAGTGCTGAGGCTGCTTGCATAAGCACGGACTGAAATAACCAACACAAACTTTTTCAGCATTTGACTCAACAGTATCGGCATGAGTGAGATAAATCAGCCGCTCCTGGATCAGACCCCAGCGTTCAGCATGAAGATCCCCAAACTGTAAGACGGATCTGTTCTGTGTCTGGCAATGTGTCGACAGAACGTACAAAGCAGAAAATACAGGTTAAGAGAGGGACTGATTGTCTGGCCAACATCTGGACCCTGTGCACCCAGCATGGGGGTGTGCTCCTCTTTAAGGCAGCTGGAGAGTTCAGCAGAAGATAAAAAGCTGTGTTAAATGCTTGGCCCGCTCTTCGGCCCATGGACCTCTGAACTGAGGAAACACTGTAAATTCAGGTGTATTCTTTCCTGCAAATACAGTCCTTTTCAGTACGTGTTAAAATGTATGGATGCTCTAGACTCACTGAGATCTGGAAATTGCCAGCTTCTTTCTGTTTAGTAAAAGTTTTGCCTGGACAAAGACAAAGTGAATGAAGGTCCAAGATCTGGCCTTGCGCATGACAATATGTCTATACCAGCTAGAAACTAGGATTAAACGATAGTAAAAATCTATTGTGCCTTTCTATCAAAAGATACTTAAATCCAGTTCAGGACTGCTGTCCCCTGCTGCAATGCGGGCTGCCATAGGCTGGATGAGGCTAAAGCATCAGCCATGTCTTCACTAGGGTTGGTGAAAAAACCTGGTATGGTTTAACACGTTCCCTAAGGATGGATGCAAAAGTGCTGACAGCCCTTCCATGCAGTCCTCTTAGGGTGACAGGCACTGCTCGAATCCAGTCCTTTCTACCATGGGCACCACATCATACGGTCACAGGCACCAGGGGTTGAGAAAAGGCTCTTAGCACAGAGATATACCCGTTCAGGAGGAGTGGAGAAACAACAGCGGCGTCTCAGGAGGGTGTGCACAGCCGTGGGTACTGAGGCTCCACCAGCAGTAGGCTTCCTCCACTGACTGCTTAGTGGGGAGACTGGACGGAGAAACTCCCTTCCTCCTCGCCCCTGGCAAGATGAAGTGAAGCCTTATGTTATGAGGGTCAGAGGGAGATGGGGTGGCTGTGGATGGAGGGGGCTGTGTCCCAAAGGGTACCTCTGATAGCCCCTGTGATGGAAGAAGAGGGGCTGAGTCCTCTCACAGGTTATTCTGGAAGCAGCATCTTTTGCTGCAGCACGGAACTGACCAGCAACAGTAAAACATAACCTGATCCTGACATGGCTCCTAATCAAATAATGCTCTGGCCCTGGGACAGGGACAACAGCATGTCCATATGGCTTTTCTACGGGCTCAAGCACCTCCACAAGTCTCAGCCCATAATGCAACCATCTCAGCAAGAGCCCTTGTGGCAGCGCTGCTGCCCAGGCGAGGGAGGCTTTGTGCCTGCAGGGTTCATGCTGATTTGGTTGGCAGGCGTTTATGTTAGCCAAACCAAAAGCAACTTACTGCCAACAGATGAGCTATATTGAACAGATGTAAACACAGTAGGAGAAGTGACGGAAGCTTTTTCACAAAGTCCTGAGAGACGAGGAGTACAAGACTTACGAGCAATGTGGTGAATTCATGGATTATACCAAGAATGCACAGAGATCTGGAGGTGATAGGAATTTCTGCCTGTTATTGCAGAAAGCTGCATCCAGAGCTTTTTTTCATTTGTAACTTTTTCACAGTCACGTCAGAAGCATGTATTTGCTGTGGGGCTTCTGAGGCAGAAGAGCTGGAGCTGGTACACCGTGCTGGGGGAGAGAAGCTCCCAGGATGTTTGTGCATCTGGCTCCTGGGCTGTGCCTCTGCTCTCCTGCTCCTTCAGGGACACACTGGAAAGGAGATGGAGGGAAAATCCACTGCAGGGTCAGAGCTGTGCCTCAGCGCCCGCTCCGACGCCCGCGTCCCTGCTCCTCCCCAGGGAGGCCAAGGCTGCCTCAGCCTCTCCAAGGGAGGAGAAATGCCCCGACGCCATGAGCTGCCCCAGCCTGACATCCCAGCACAGGGATGCTCCTCAGGAGAAGGCACTGAGCCACGACATCATCACTTGGACCAAAATCCTGAATCAAATCCTTCCTAGATGATGCAGCCAGCATGTTAGCCCTCCCCACTAGCACATTCAGGGCCACCTGCCAGCCTCTTGTTGCTGTTTGCTATAGCTCTTTCTGAGGCATGAAGATTCTCTCTTGCTGGGAAGATTTATTTCTTGTTTAGCACAGGAGAAATAGTCTGGGATCGCCTGCTATCCGGGTGTAATTGCAGATCTCAGACCATTGATTTCTCCTGTTCTTTTTCTCCTGTGAGCTGTAGTTGAGGAGACTTCTGGGCCTTTGTCCTGGCTCTCCAGCTTGTTTGAAGGTGGCGGGAGGTCTTTTGTGTTTTGCAGAGTTTTGGTTTTTTGTAGAGTAAGGGTTAATACTTTAACTTGTTCCTATTCTAGCCACAGTCTACAATAGCTTTTAAGTATCTATCTCCTGCACAAGAGGACTAGGAGAAGGTCACAGAAACCCTTAGGTTTGCTGGGTTAATGTTTTGTAACAACCAATCCAATGATGCATTGCTTCATTATTCAAATCCTGCTGACAGTCTATCTGATGTTTTGATCAGTTGTTAATATTTAATTGTTAATTCACAGTTTGATTTAATTCTGACCCTTATTTCATGACTGCAGTATTCACTCCTTATTAGCTCAATACCATGCCACGATGCAAATCTATTTTAGTTTGGTTGTTTATTCATTAGCAAAAAACCTCCCAGAAAGTACACAGGACTTACTTTTTCTTTCAAAATCACAACCAGTCCCTAAGGCTAAAGACGTTGCACGTGAGCTCAGATATTAAGGCATTTCCTTAATACCTACCTACATCCCATTCAGCAGCAGCTCTCTAGGAATGACAATAGACTGACTCTGCCTTCCTGGCCATTGATGGTTCACCAAGGCTCTTTGCTCAGATGCAATTACCAGCTGAGGTCAAACACTTAATCCTTCAGTGCCAACAGCCTGTTAGCCTTCTCCAGACTTTCACTAACTTCCGATGGGTATTTTTGTATGTTTGGGCATCTCAGTCTTGTTGCTTCATCTCCCAGGTATAGGTAGGGTCACGGACCTAGCCGAGACCTGGGACTCTCAGATTTCCTCCCTACTGTTCCTGGCCCGTGGTGTCGCCTTGAACTTGGGGCTCCTCGTTGCCTTCTCCACTGACAGCACACAGCTTGGTGCAGCCTGCCAGGGCTCCGGCTGGTTACAGGTTATGGAAAATAGCAAAGTCCTGTAGGTAAGCTCTTTGCTAAGTTGATTTCATGCCTTACGGATAGGTATTGATTTCCCATTTTGATATATGCGAGTGACAGAGAGAATAAAACAATGACTCTGCAATGGCTGTCCTTTTTTGCCTGCAATAGTTTATCCTCTCATTACCTCGATCAGCCTTGTTCATAAGAGCTCTTAATAACTCTGGCTCTAATTAGGACTCACTCTTACTGTGACCTTGTGAACTAGACTCTATCCTACTGCAGCTGCATGAATGCTTTCCAAAATATGGATGTTCGTCCTTTTCAGACACATTATAATGTGATTTTTGTGTGAATTCAGTAGATCTGAACAAGCATTTTTGGCGGATAAGAATGTTACTTCAGAATTCTGTTTTCTTTACATATTATAATATTTGTGAGATATAATAAATGCAGTTGTCTTTGAGTATTGTGTTTCTCTAACCCCACATCCAAGTTTCGCTCAGGAAGGTGCTTTGCCAGGTGACCTGCTCTGACTCCAGTGAAGGAAATCACTGCTGTCCTGCAAGGACACACAAAAGGCAGCAGCACAAACAGGACCAGCCCTTGGCAGAGTGGGGTGTGATTTTGGAGGCTGCCCAGACCTTTCTGATAGCTGCAGACCCCTGACTCCAGTGCATACCTGCAGCAGTGGCTCTTTGACAGCGGCAGACTTTATCTCCAGCTTCAGCACATGTACTTTATGGATATCACTTATAGTCATTTTATAAACTTTCAAAGAGAGACAAATAAAATTTCACCAAGAAAACAAAGTTTTCTTTCTCAGCTGAGGCTGGACCCCCACAGTTTGCTCGTCTGCATCTGTTAAATACTGTGGGTAAGCTATTAGTGACAGAAATATTCTGTCCAAGCACTCTTACAGGGAGCAGAGAGCAATTTTCTCCCTGTAGCTATTGGGTCCCTGCTGTAAGGTGCCTCTGAGTGAGAAAGCAAAGAGCCAGACTTGTGCCATCTAGTGATCCGAAGAGAGTGAGCGTCTGTCCCCGGCCCCATCCTCTTCCTCCCTGTGCAAAAGCCTTTAGCCTGTAATCCAGAGTCTTCAGATGACACTAAAAAACAGATTAATGAGTATTTCTATTATTTTCACATCTTTTGTGTGTAACCCTCCTGGCAGCCCTGACTGATTCCCTGGCAGCTCAGTTGCCTCTGGTTTCGCTGTACTTTGCCTGAGCGCCAGTTTATGACTTTAGTATTCAGCTCCTGACACGCGGAGGTGAAAGTCCAGCTGTGCGGCTTGCCACCTTCCCTTTCTCTTTCACTTCCAGATGGTCACCAAGCAATTAGCTCCTCTGCACTGCTCCCATTTCTTCCTCTCGAGGCTTACTGACAACAAGTCCCCCCAGATATACATCTGCCTTCTAGTGTTTTCTGTGTTTTTCTAGAGCAGTTTGCCATTTCTTCTCAAAGTTAGCAGGAAGTATAAGTCAGAGGATGAGTAACAGCCAGAGGGTCACAGGAGAGCAAGTGCTTTTCCAAAGTGGACCCTATTCCTAAGGTGAGGAATTATAAAGAAATGGCTCATCTTTCCTTATAACTCTGGAAACATCAGTCAAACTGCATTAACTGCCATTAAGGGCTGAGTACTTACAAAAGCATAAGGTACCAGGCAAAATCTGAATGAGAACACAGGTCTGGAGAAACCTTGTCCATTCTGCTGAAACACCTAGGAGTAAAGGGGCAGGCTGGGAGAAGCAGCTTTTGTAGGCAACGGTCAGTCAGTGGGGCCATCCCAAATACATTTGTAGAAGGAAGGAACCCATCCTTTTCTCCATTTCAATGGTCAGGAAGCCAAGGACCAGGGCAGTGCCCACTCAGCCCCTTCTCAGGGTACTCTCCTTCCCCACCCTAAACCAGCAGCAAGGTCAGTTTATGCCCCTCCCTAATCAACCCTACACAAACTCTTTTTGCAGGTGGCTCCTGGTCTTCCGTAGTATTTGGAAGTGCCCAGGACTCCTGCCATGTTGCACAAGTACCACAGCACACAGGTCCTCCCACACTGGTAACTCCAGCTGGAGCCTGATTTGGTGACAGCCAGTTGCTTGCTTTACTATAAGCCACTTAACGCAATTTTGATGGAATAATTTTATTCCTTTTGTGAATAATTAAAGCACCCCAAACATGAAGCTGAATGCACTTGAACGCACTCTGGTAGCACGGAAACACAAACCTGTTTCCCACGAATGTTTCTGGAAGAGCAGCAGCCTCCTGGGCGCGTTGCTGAAAGCCTCGCTTGCCCTCTGTTGGGTGGCCGGGGAAGGATTTACCCGGTAATGAGGAATTACCCGGTAATGAGGAGTGCCGCTTACTGGACTTTGTGAAAGAGGGATGCAGAGTGATGGAGGCATCGAAACCAGAGCAGTCCTCGCTTGTTAGCCTCTCCAGCCACCTGATTAGAAGGTGACATTCAATGAAATTAAAGGCTGCAATTCATTTAGAGCCAAGCAATTAATAAGCCGGAGACAGTAATGTTTTATGCAGCTTATAATGCAGACAACCTGTGGAGCTCACGTCCATGAAGGGGTCACTGAAGCAAATGCGGCGTGTAGGTGGGAAGGAAGTGATGGTTGATTTAATGCCCACTAGCAGGCTACGCAAGCTGAAGTGACAAACATAATCAAATCTCATGCTTCAGGGCATAAATTGAAGGGGTTGAGTAGTGGAAGCAGTTATATATATAAAAGGTCTGATCCTGAGAGGTGCTGATTACCTGCAATTCTTCCTAAGTTCAGCCAGTGAAAGGACACTCAGGAATTGCTCGACTTCTCTGCTGGCGAAGTCTGTACTTGCTAATTTTCCCTATTAATAAATCCTGTAATATTTTAGCCTGCTGGCACAAACATTCATTTTGCTACAGTAACATTTATTTCCTTTCACACAAGAGTCAAACATTAAAGCTGCTTCTAAAATAAGATTTTATAGAGATAATTTGCAGTGGTGCTGGCAGAGAATTTGTCTCTCAAAATATGCTATAATTCTTTATCTAGCGAAGGTACTTATATGGCCTCATTATGAGACTATGTGAGCACTTCATAACCTTTAGTGGATTTATCTTCCCAGTTGCCTTTCTGAGCAGGGGAACTGAGACTAGCCCAGCTCTACAGGGGTGGGGGCTGCTCCACGAGGCAGGCTGTGGGCTTCCATTAATCTTTCGGGGTACCTAAGATGGACCCAGCTGTCCACTTTGACTGCGAGCTCGTGGCTCCCCAGGCATGTGATGCACGGCACTAGGTGAGACATTTACTTTCTGCCCCAAGGGGGGTCTGATTGCAGCCCGCAGCCCCCAGCCCTTGCCATGGAGAGATCAGAGGTAGAGAGGTCAGGCAGGCTGAATCCAGCCTTCAGGGACCTGCCCGTGACAAACAAAGGAAATCTTTGCTTTCATCTGGAATGCAGCTAAGGGGGAAATTCGGCATCTTTCCTCAGTAATTTGAGAACTAGGCAGGCTAATACCTCCTAGGAATGGCTTAGCTAGAGCTGATCCTGCTTAGGTGTAAGGCAGTCTAAATGGCTTCTTGAAGTCTCTTTCCATCCTGTTTGCAGTGGTCACCTCAAAGAAAATGACATTCTTTATCATAATAAATTTCTGTAGCTAAGCATCAAATACCTAATCCCATAATTCATGTCTGTGGGGAATTGTCCTGGGCCATTCAAAGCCTGTAGGTCTGCAATGCTAGGGCAAAAGTAGCTGGAGACAGTCACCATGAAATTAAGAAGAGCTCAAATGAGCAAACTCACTTTTTTGTGTGCTCTGCAACCAGCTCCTGCCACTGCTACTCCCCCCATAATCCCTATCTCTTGCTTTCCCTTCCCTGGCCATAAATTTGCTGCCTTTTGCACTAGACAAATCTGATATGCTGTGCTAAATATTTTAAATGTGGCAAACGATCCTTCATCGCAGAGTGGCATGATTGCATTACAATGTATTAGAACAACATGACTTTGCCAGAGGGTGTTTGTTGGCACCGTGCCGAGTCAAGGAGGCAGCCCAAGTTTCAGAAGTAACTATCAAGTCATTTATCAACATTCGGTCCTAAAACACATGGGGTTGCACCAGCTCAAGCAGTCTGAGAGAGATAAATCTGGAGGCTGAGCCAGAAACCCCAAATACAGACAGACCTCTGAGGGAGCTTCTCAAAATCCAGAGCCCTATCAAAATGTCAAGCTGAGCTCCTGTGACAGATTCAGCACATGCTTTTGGCGTTTATTCTGTTGCATTTTGTCTCCCCTTTTATGTTTGGATTAAATATGTGCTACTTTTCAGTCTCTTGGCCAACCTGTGGAAAGGGCTGATTTGACCTCGCACTACTGTAGCATAATGGAAGATCTCTGGTGAACCAAGTGGAATCATAGAAAGCCAACGTGTGGTGTCTAGAGGTTGTTTTCCTTCATAATATCCTCATAGGATGGAGGCAACTCAGTTCCCCCAAGGCTGAACCGTGGGGCAGGAGAAGAGGACATCTCCGCAGTCATGCAGGGGCTGGAGAATGGGCACTGAGGTGCTTCACTCGCTGGGGAAAAAGCAAAACCATAATTGTACAGCAGACAGGCGTGAAGAGCAAGTGTGGGGGTGAGAGGGGTGAGCCTGGGAGGAGCTGCCAAACCACTTGGAAACAAGAAAGGCACGGATGTAATTTTTGAAACATGGCATCACAAAGCCTCTCACCACAAACTCCAGATACAAGAAATGAGAACAGAGGAATTTGGGTGGGTTTGGGGTGGGTCCTCCCTGTGGAGACACTGTTCATGACCACCAGAAAAGCAGGCAATACCTCCTCTGGGAAGGGCTTAGTCTAACGACAGAATTAGCTTTATTCTTCTTGGAGGGACTGTTGTCTGGCCCAGCCTGCTGATGCTGCTGGCAGTACTCCACGTCAGTGCTGGGTGCTACACATTGTCATTATAGCCCGGTCCTCAAATATCTGGGTGCTCCTGGAGAATGCTGAGGGTGGCTACCATGATGAACAGCACCCAACTTGACAACTTTTTGACAGACCCCAAGGTGTATCAGCCAGTCGAGCTGCCTTCTGGGGTGGGTCAAGTAGACTGATGTGGTCTTGCCTGAGTGAGAAATTCAGGTTACTTGTTGGAAAGGGCCACCTGATCCAGGCAGTGCCCGTGACTGCGTGTATCAGGCTGCTGAATGCCCCATCACTGAGGAGAAGGTCCCTCACACCTCCAGTGTTAGCATGGCCAAGGCCTGGGTAGGCACCGTGGGGACACGTGGACACACAGGGCCAGCAGTGACATCATCTGAAGGTACGGCTGGGGAAAAGTGGATATGGCTTGCTTAAGCCCTCCAGTCCGTGGTCTGAACATCCCCCCAAGATGTCCAAGCTGGGCACCCCACTGTTGACCAGAAACACAGTACCCAGCTGCAGCCCAGCTCCCACTCAAGCCTGGCTGCCTCTGACTGGGCTAAGGATGGGCCACAGGAAGCCCACCAGGGCCAGCAGCACCTTGCAGCAAGTAGGGAGAGGACTAACCGCAAAAGGCGTCCGAGCTGCTGAGGGCAAAGATGGCCAGGGTGCGTCGGTGGAGGAGGCAGCTCCGCCGTTTCAGCCAGTACTGCAGGCAGCAGCAGATCCCACAGGATAGGAGCAAGGCCAGGAAAAACAACATCAGGAACCTGAGGCAGAGGCAGCAGTGGAGGAACAGTACCATCACCATCTGTGGGCAGCACCGACAGATGGCTGCATGTCTTCAAATTAACATATTCATTAACATCTTTAGCAAATAGCCGTTAAATGTTGCAGTTTCCCCATCACTGTACTGGACATGATCAAAGTCTCCAGAAACCAATGTCTCAGTGCTGAGTGCTGGCTGGAAATTCAAACATTTCTCCGTGAAATCGTTCATCAGTTTTGCCCAGCTCAGTTGTCAGCGTACAGTGAGGAGGATATGGATAAATGATTCCCATTAGTCAGTAAAGACAGAACACAGGGACAGCCCAGGAGCAATGCTCTCTAGCTATCAGTCTCTCTTAATGCCTTTCTCTCTATATATCCATCAAAGAACATTATTTGCCAGTTTTTCCCCTCTAAAACAGATCAGAGACTTACCACACATACCAGCTGCTCAAGTTTTCATCGCTCTGCCCAATGCACCTAACAAGGGAAAAATAAAAGGAACTTTCAGTCCAGTGTGAGGGGACCGGCTCCAACACATGTCTGCCAACACAAAGAAAAGCATCATCAGAAAGCAGAAGATTGAGAAGTTCTCCTCCATCAAGGGAACACTATTAGAAGTTTCTCTGTGTAGATGGGAGCAGATGCAGGCGATGTACAAAGCGGCATGCAACTGTTTTGCATCTCAACACTGGCACCTGCCACCAACATTTTTTCTGAAATCCCGAAAAGTTGCCAACCTCCCTTTCCTCTTCCAGAAGAAAAACTAAACGGCCCTTTCCTGGAAGCCCTCGTTCCTCTGCCATGTCAGTGTGCCGGGCAGGAGCACAGCATCCCCGAAAGAGCCCAGGGTGAGAGCAGCCCCAGGTGAGAAAACGGAGAGCCACACTCACCTCTCGCCGAGCTCACAGTCCGACTCAGAGTCTGCTAACTGAAAACACACATGTAAATCAGAGAGGGCAGATACATGTTGCTCTTTTATAATTTATCAGTATAATTACTGATCTTAGAGGGGGAGGTCGGAGAGGAAGAGCCATACAGGTGCTGGCTCCTGCAGGGACGAGAACCATCCCTCTCCCTAGAGACTGCAGGGCTGAGGTCTCGCCTCGGCGTGTCTCTGGTCTGAGCTAACCCATATTGAAACCAGTGCACAACCTTGCAGAGAGCTCAATAAATTCAACAGTTCGCAGATGAAAGCTAGGCCCAGGGGAAAGCATTTCTTTTGATGTGAAAGAGGGAAGGACAAGAGCAGGGAGACACAAGCAGGTGTCGGAAACCTGTTTACAAAACTGGGCTTTGTTATTCAGAAATATCTGCTGAAAATGTCCCGTGACCAAATTCTTGGTCTGTAGCTCATTTTCCAGTAGCTAATTGTGAATGTAGCTGTAAATTGGAGCTGTTTCAACCAGACGTGTGCTCTGCCCACCATTTTCCTGTTTTCGGATAGTAGTGGTGCATCATTCCCAGAGTCAGATTTCAGGTATTGCAAATATGTGAACCTGAAACTAGTTTTTCAGGTATATTTTCTACTCTCCACTCAAGCAAGTTTATTTTTACAAGCCTTGTTGATCTTAGCCTCAGTTTCAGATTATCTGGGCAAAAAGTAGCCAGAGTGGTTCATCAGTATGATTGAATCAAATTCAATACAATTTTTGGCTGACTCACATTAGGTGTGTTATAACACTTGCCCATCTTTTCTACAAAAAACTTCACATCAGGTATAGAATTGCAATAACACTGGGAAGCAGAATGAGCAAGATGGAAGAATTTAGATTTATTTCTTGGAGAAAACTATTAAAATGTAATCTGTAAATCATTACTTTACTTTGGATTTCCTTCTGCATATATCCAAAACACATGGAGATTTCTGATTTTCTTTGAGCCAATCCAGAAAGCTCTTTTCTGTATTATAAATATGTATCAAATACGTATAATTGAGAGATCTCATATTACATCTCTAATTAACAGGACTTCTTTGTAAGGACTTTGTTGTGCAAAGCTTGTATCACTGTAAACAGCAAGAAATCACCCCAAAGAATCTTTATAATGTGTCTGATCCTGTGCACATATTGCCTTTTGGTCCCTAGTTTCATTAGAGGTCTTTAGGTATAATAAGTCTTTCATATAAAACATTAACTATGAAATTTCATGAGCAGTTGAAACCCAACTGAGGAATAGAGAAAAAGACAGAAGCTTCAACTCTTCCAGACGTGTCCTTTTAAAACTGAGCTAATTTGCCATGTCACACATGCACCCTGGTGCAGAATATTTTAATTTTTTTTTTGCACTTCAACTGATTATTAGAATAACAGGTCAAAACCAGACAGCTGATTGCTGTGATTACGTGTACCCTGAGTATTCTTCATGGCTGAATGACAACCTCTGGACTCTCTTTTGTCATCCTTCAAACTATCTCAGCAGAGCTACCTTCACGTAGTTAAACTGCAGCAAAGTGCATCTGCTCTGAGGCAGTAATTTATCAATGCAGCCAAACACCCACCCGTGCTGCTGAAAACCCATGCTCTTCCGTTTCAACAGCCATAGAGATAATAAAGGACTAAGGCAGTCATGTTTTCTCTGCATTAACTAGAATTGTTGTGAACATTAAATCCTCTCCAAATTCATCAGGTCCTCAGAAAAATTCTTTCCCCCAAAAATAAACAGGGCTGATGACTAAATTATATCAAAGTTGAAATCTTTTCCCCACAAAAATCCCTAAAATCAGCTTAGTCCCAGTGAAGGGTTTGGTTACCTGGAAGAAGGTTAAACACAGAACTCCAGTTCCTGTGATCCACGAAGCGAGACACAAAGCTCCAGGTCTCCACATCACTAGCACAAGAAACGTGGGAAGAGCTTTGTTTGCAGCAGTGTTTTACCCTCTGTAATTTAGAGCTTTTAAAACTTCTCTGCACATTGTGCCTTCAGCCAGAGAACATATAACCCAACGGCTTCCTGCTCTTCAGAAATTACTGCTAGCCAGGGAACGAATTTGGGTTTGCATGGACACACTCAAACAGCTGCTAGAAGTTAAAGGAACACTAGTTTAAGGTCAGCACCTTGCAGTTGTTTCGGCATTTTCATAGCTGTTCACAAATTCCTGTTGCTGAAGCTTAGTTCCATATTAACCCACGGCTGTATTTAACAGGACCTACTACAAATAAAGAATCACTGGAGACTGTATTGTGAAGCCATGCTTTCATTACATGTTGCCCTCAGCTGCAATTCTGGCATTATAGAAAAAGCAGAGCTACCTCCAACCATCTCCTATGCACCGTGCCTACTACCTCAAACATGTGCACCATGGATGAAGGAAACCCTTCCCAGCCTGAGACAACCACCGCTGGCACCTCTACTGCTGTTACGCAGCTGCCAGGGTTTGCTAGGAAAATGCATCTGAAAAATCACACCCCCCCAAGTGGTTGTCATAAGAGATACAAAATTTCACTGCACGATCTAAGGACCGATCCAGATGATATAGTTCAACAGGGGTGGAAGATGGTTTCACTGTAGCTCTGATCACCGCAGAATGGACGATCCCAGTTTGTTCGGCAGTCAGTAATAGATTGTCACTGAAGTTTACAGCCCGCGGCTGAAATGCACCATTAACTACGGATCTTTCAGATTTAACACAAAGGGTGTTGCCGTGAATATGTTTAGCCATCACTCCAGAAGTTAAGCATTATGTTGTGATGCCATTACTTCAGTAATGATTGACGAAGCTAAGCTGCTCTTGAGATACACCTCTGTGGCTTTGCTTCAACTAAAAGGTCAAGGAGTCTAACCAGCTCTGATACACATACTCAACCCAGGTTTGTTATTTCTCATTAAAGTTTTGCATAAACCCAGTCCAAACCCTGGTGTTCTCAAATGTTTACTTTCAGCTCACTACTAAATAAAGGCAAGTGTCTGAAGCCATGCCCTGTGAGAAAGCATCTCTCATAATGGTGCTAAGTGCATGTGCGACAAAATATACATATTTGGAACATGTTGGTGTCGTGGTTCAGACAAATCCTTTTCAATTTTGTTCAACAGTAAATTGCCAAACCAATTTCTTAGCTCTTTTCTTGAAAGAAAAAGCTCCTGCTTCGCACAGCCTTGCTGGGAACCTTGTGACTCTTACAATTTCAGGCTTCAAAGAGATCATCCATCAGTGAACTAATTTCAGATTGCTTCCTCTCACAATTACTTCCCTCATGCCAGAACCCAGGGTACTTCCAATTTAGAGCTATGGAATGGATCATCCCCAGTATTTCAGGGGGCAGATACCACAATGAGCTCCTGGTGCTGAAAAATAACACATAGCATATGTTCTGGGTCTATTTCTAGAAGAAAATGGGAAAAATTGAATTCTGCCATGCTCAGCTTCCTGGCCTTGAGGCAAACTTTGAAGTTTTCTGTATGGTTGGTCCCATACAGAGGTTTCAAGTGGTGGTGGCAATTTGTGGAGCCTGTCCCTGTATTCTTGGTAACGATGTCGAGAGGAGAGTTGGTTAAGAGGGGGTCCACGAACAGCCCCGTCTTTTGCTTCAGGCGTGATCCTGATACTGAAAAGAGCTGCTGCTTCAAACTCTCCCTGTGTATGATCTGCTGAGCAGCTTTATGACATTCATGTGTTCAAGAGCCCCAGCACTTGCTCTGAGGCAGCCAGGACCTGACACCAAAAGCCCAGAGGAGCTCTGCACTGAAACCCACAGCAGGCTGCGACCCCTCCTGCCCGCTCCCAGCCTACTGCGACACTGCTGCTTTTGGGGTTTTGCAATAGAGAGACTCATCTTCTGGGTAGCTCTGTGTCCGAGGGTTATCTCCATCTGAGGGTTTTTTCCTGGGCTTTTTGTCATTCCCCCCATGAGGAGATATATGCACACATATGCATATACATACATGAAAGGAAAGCCCTGCTCCCTCTTCCTCATCCACTTACTGATGAAAAGTTTGGTATCTCTTGCCTCCTCAATCAATTATATCCACCTCATCAGTGGACTTGGGAGGCTGCTCTCCGGTAGATGTTAACTCATGGCCATTAGATTAAAAATCTGTTATTTTCTTATCACCTTTTGTCGTTGCTAGGTGACAAATGCATCTCCCAGGCAGCAACATGGACTACTACAACATACAGCAATTTATGATTGTCCATTATCTCTTCGCTTAAAGTGCCTGGTCCTTTCGATGGGAGGAAGATGTGCAGTTCTAGGATCATCCAAAAAGTGACTTTTAGAGTTGCCACAGAAACCATCTCTGCTGGCTGGCTCTTGCTGGGCTTTGTGAGAGGGGATGCAAGGCTGGGAAACAGAAGGAACTTGGAAGAAGCTGATTTAACTTGTCAGGTCCAACAGGGTCAAGGTTGGATTAGGGGTCTGAATTTCAGGAACTGAGCTTGTTCATGTATGTATGTGCACTAGAGTTGATGGCCTTTGCTGGCTCGAGTGTCATACAAATTTTTTCAGCCATGCTTTTGGTTTGAGCCAAAGTTTCAGGGAACACCCCGGGGACCTCTGGATTCTGGTGAGAGTGGGAGGGAATTTACTGACAAACAGGAGCCTACATAGAGCCCCTGGCAGCTTATGACCGCAGCTAGCAGTTTAAACCTGTTTAAAGCTCTTACTTAGCTGCCTTCAGAGCATTTGGTGGCTGCTAGGGATGACTTTTGGGGAAGCAATTACCTTGCTAAGCTCTGACCAGCCTCCCAGTACAGTCCAGAATGGGACTGTAAAAGACTTTTTCAGAAAGAAAACAAGAAAGGAGAGCGGCAGAAGGAGAGATGGGACAGACACAGGGAAGGACATAGGTCAGGGTGGAGAACACAGAGACATGATGTGGAAGGGAGACAAGGAAAGGCAGGGCAGCCCTGCTCTCTACATTAAGGTTGACTGACAAGTTAAGTGTCTGTTGGCTTTTTTATATTACAGTGTTTTCACATCACCACCACAATCAATTTTTACTCCAGCCCAAATCTGTTGGGAGCTCTCCTCTTCCTACACGA